ATACAGGAGGAACCAGGCGGCCTGGTTGACGATGCCCTTGATAGAAGGAAAAAAATAAGGAGGAGAAAGGAAGACGACAACGACAGCCGTAGCTAACCAAGGCGTGAATCTTGCTTCACTCAACCTACAGAAGACAGTAAGACGAGAGCGCGTACAGCGGCTACAGACGTGGGTGAAAATAACTGCCTCGTGTATGTGAGCTTGGTTAACAACCCACACCCTTCCTGCGTTCATTGGCTGTACGAGACAAGGCAAATGAGACTGATACAATAATAATAAATAATGATAATAATAAATGAATAAACGTCGTCAACACGGCAACGAAACAAAACCGGAAAAAAAATGCATATATTTGTCTCACAGCATGAACAAACAGAAACTGCGGTTCATACATGATGAAAAGGGCATTCCCGTGACAGAAACACAAACAAACACAAACAAACACAAACACACACACACACACACACACACAGAGAGAGAGAGAGAGACGAATGCATATATGCAGAAAATATGAAGACATAAACTTCTTTTTTTGCTTTTTTTAAAAAAAAGAAAGGTAAACAAACACAACAACAAGGCGCCCTTGCGGTATATAAGTTGATACTAAGGGCATACAAGAAAAAAGAAAAAAAGAGGGGATAGAGAAAACAAATGCAGAGAAAGTGATGGAGTAGAGAACTAGGGAATAATGCAACAACTATTCCTTAAATAACGCCGTTATTCCTAAAAATTCAGCTGTGCTGTGGGATTTGCTGGCTGCATCGGAATCAAAGAGGTTACCGCCCTGACCGACAGTATCCACATTCTCCGTAAAGCTATAGCCGCCACCTCTTCGTTGAGAGTGGTGTACACCCTCTAGGCGTCGCCGTAGGGTCCGCAATGAAGACAACTCACCATTAAACGAGTTTTGCCTCTTTTTTGCCTCCACAGCGTCCAGTTTTCCAAACTTCTTCTTGAGATTCAGCTCGCAGATTAAGGCCTGATGACCCCCAAGTCTGGTGGCATGCGTTGAAGGTGAGGTACGATAAATAGGTTTGGCCGAAACCACTTCCGCCGCTGCTTCGGGCCCTAACCCCAGCGAAAGCTCCAATAACTCCTGATGCGGCAGATCACCAAGCTCACTGTCCAATTCCATTTCACGATCATTCCCAACTTCCTCAGCAATGTGTAATAGTTTTTCTCCAGCAGCGTTAGTACCCGATATAGCATTTGACTGATGCATCTGCATCGGTGAAGAGTTCAGCTTCGGACTCCACTCTAATGATGAGGGGGAAAGCAATGGGAGCGACTGCGAGCAAACAACAGGCGGATGCCCCAAAATGAAAGGGTGCTTCAGCAGTTCTTCCACCGAGGGACGCCGGGTATAGTCAAGGCGAAAGACACACTCTATAAAATTAAGTAGTGTCAAACTCGCCCCAGATTGACGCAGGCGGTTTAAACTTGGTCCTTTCACAGTTCCACCAATTCTCCATACGACAGTGTGCGAAGGCAAACCATGAAATTCTTCCCATGGCGGGACTCCCATGGTCATTTCATACACCATGCACCCCAACGCCCACACATCAGAGGCAAACGTAGACTCCTGCGTAGAAATAAGCTCTGGACTCATGTATATGGGAGTCCCACAAAGCTTCCTCTCTGTAGCTTGCATAAAACAACCAGAGTTTCCACCTAAAAGCTTATCTTGCTCCGCATCGGCCACATATATGGTTTGAACAAACCTACTTGTACCAAAGTCAGTAATTTTAAGGTTGCCCTTCTCCGTCACAAGTACATTGGCACTCTTAAGATCCCCATGAACCACACTGCGTCTTTGTAAATACTCCATACCTTGTAACACCTGCAATGTATAGAGGCGTATGACATTTTCGTTAAAGGCCCCAAATTTTTTGATAAGATCCTGTAACGTGCCACCAGCAACATGCTCCAAAATGATGCACATTCCTCGATGAACCTTTTCCACTCCAAGGCATTTAACAATGCGATGATGAGCGAGGTATGTAAGAAAGTAAAATTCACGCAAATCTGCTTCCGACAAAGCAAGACGTCCGTGATAACTATCCAATTTTTTTTTATCACAGTTTATAGAAGGTGTTTCAGGCGAGACTTTTGTTTGCTTCAGCAACGATTTACCGGACGATTCATTCGAATCTTTAGAAGAATAAGGGCTGGACGAGGATGAGAAACCATCATCATGAATTACTTTCAACGCCAACCTTCGTCCAGTGTCTACATCCATGCCGGCGTACACTACACTGTTTGCACCGTGTGCAATAGGAAGACCCCACTGTAAACGAATAGAAATAGACTGCTCCTTTACGGATTGCCTGAGAGAGCTCATTTTTCTTCCGGAGCCTGGTCCCAGTCGTGCATTCCAGGACTCTTCCTCCCCCAAAGTCGCGGTGTTGTCGGAGGTATGGTAAGCTTGAAAGCAAAATTTCTCAACATACAATGAACCTGGAGTAAGTGACATGTTGAGCTTATCTGTAAAAATCAGGGAAGAATAATCCGTGGTGTTTCCAACTTCACCCGCTCTACCTTCATCACGCAATGTATTTAAGTGACAGGCCACAACACCAACATCATCTCCGCTTTGAAGCTGACAGCGTCGGCCTTTTCCTACCTTGGTATCATTCACATAAGTACCATTGGCGCTGTGGTCCTCTAAGTAGATCCGCACCTCTGGTACAGAGTAGCGTGGCATCTGTGTGTGATGCGCATCATCGTTCGTCTCTCGAGTAGAGCAGGAGTTGTTGTGAGCACCCACTAAAGTTGACCCCGCCGTTATTGAAGTGTCAAGGAGCGTGTGTTGTCGGGTTGAGAGGTCCTGATGATGGCACCGACATCCTCTGCCAGGAGACGGCACGCTCACCTCAACGTGGAAAGCAATGACGAAGTGTAGCGCACTGACGCGGGGATCACTCACGACAATGTCACACGTCGGAGACCTCCCACACGTAATTTGCCGCCTGTCGGAGAGGTACAACACGCGGTGTTTATCCGAAAGAAGAAATCCCCAGGGTCGCTCGCTTGTCGCGGTATGACTTTCAACCGACAGCTCAACCAGTGTGCTCTGTGAGTTCGACAGAGTGTCAGGACCCGCATTATCTTCCACGCTTCGAAAACTCATGTGTCGCGTTAGTTACTTATGTCTAGTGACCGTTAATACGTGTGTGGGGGTGTATTTGTTGCGCTCCTCCCACACCCTCTCTTTATCTATGTGTTTATTCCCCCCGTCTCGTTAATTGTTATTTACGTGTATTATATGCGAGTGCGTCCAGGCCTCTCCCGCAACACGCCTCTCTTCTCAGATGCGTTGTAACCTCCACAGCGACTCCGTGGAAACACGAGCAGCTAGGGCGTGTTGATGACAAAAAAAAAAAAAAAGAGCATGCGAAGTAATAAAGACACAAAATAAAATACAAATACACATTACACTGGGAGTGACATTCGCGTGCCCCCACCAACGAGAAGCCAATCTCACCCGGTCAATTTACACCACTACCACGTAAGTATTTTTTTTTCCTCCATCTCAGAATTTTCTAAACGCATGATACGCGGGTTCCTGTGCGTAGTGACGCTCCACCTCCCGTAGCTCTTCCTCGTTAATCTCAAGCGGTAACATACCACGCTCCGCCCACTGCTGCTCCCTAAATTCGGAATCCGCATCATACTGCTCCCGGAGCTCTGGGTTATTGCAGAGGTCAAAAATAAGTTGCTGCCGCGCGAGAGCCTTCTTCTGCAGCGCCACATACGCTTCCCACGCCTCACCCTCAACCCCTGTCAATGGGGCGGCCTCACGTATCTCGCCATGCCACTCCTCCAGCTTCCGCGCACAGAGCGCCGTCAGGTCTTCTATACGGTGCGCGTCCACAAACGGAAACGAAGGGTCTGCATCTGTGCCAAATTCCAACGCATCTGTCGGACGAACAACTGGAGGATACTCCGCCTGCTGGGAGCAAAGCTGAGGCACGTCCAACCCGTATCCTGGCTCATATCCAGGGACTGGAGGCGTCAGCGAGGGGCGGCGGTAGTTACCAGGGGGCTGTTCAGACGACAGCAGCAGCGCCTCCTCACGCGCCTGCTCCATGCCAAGCTCCGTCATTGCCTCCAGAGCCTCCGTCATGCGGGTAGCAAGACGAGACATGCGATCGGCAAAGGTTTTCTCATTAACTGCACAGTACCGGTCGAACGCCAACGCGACACGGCGTTCGTTGTCCACATCGTGCTGCCTTTTTCGACTGTCGTTACACAGCCTCTTCTCGTGCAAGTACTCCATCGCCGCCTGTGCCCACTTCTCCTCACTTCCAATTTTACCCGCGCTCGTCATGTAGGCTGCCGCAGTCTGCTTCTTCTGTAGTAGCACAAAGCTACAGCCGCCCCAGCGACAGGCCATCAACCCAGAGGAGAATTTACCACTTTTCTTCTCCTTCTTTCAGCCCCACACCCCACTTCCGTGCGTGCTTTACCTGGTCACTTCCACCCACTCAAACAAATGAATGTATGGCTGACCGATGGCTCACCTGTCGCGCAAGGACAGCGTCCGCAAGAGGTGCACACACCTAACACGATGTATTAAACCCGCGTTGCGGGTGGAAACAAAAAGGGGGAAAAAGGCATGGTGGTGAAAACAAACAGACAGAAAGGATTACGTGATAAACGCCACGTCACCCTTCACGTGCAGAGAATTGTGCGTACACCCCGATGGCTGATAACAAGAAAAGAAAGAAGAAAGCGCTTACACAAAAGGTACGAGAGGAAGAAGGACCCATTCAAAAAGAAAAAAAATATGGTCCACAGTTTTTGTAAGCTGACGCTGCGGGTTCCCTAAGAAAAACAAACAAACACACACACGTGGGAAACGCAAGGGATGGAAACATTCCATCACCTCCTCACCCGCCTTATAGGTGCGACTTTCCTTCCATTTTTTTCCCCCCCTTCAAGTTTTACCACAAACAAGCACAAAAAAGCAAACCATTCCTAGGAGCAGCAGTCGCACACTTTGACGCGCAGGACACATAAGCATACAGAGGGAGCGGCAGACAAAGAACAAATCTAAAAAAAACAACACCAATAACCAAGAAAAACAGATGTTGAAACCGCCAAATGCAACAGCGGATAAAACGACAGAAAATGATCAAAAGAAAAAAGAGCGAGGGGGAAGGGGAGATGTCATAAAAACCCAGCGATAAAGAAAACCAAAACGAAAAAAAAAAGGAAACGGGAGTAAAGAAAAATAAGAAAGCCCCAGCAATGCAATCGTCAAATAACACGCACTTGATTCCCTTCTTACAGGGAATAAAAAAACGATCACATAATGCAGTCATTTCCACGAAAAAGCACGCAGTGACCCTTTTTTTTTTTTCCTTTGTCCTCATCCAGACCGCTTTTCTTCCTCCCGTTGTTCACCGATATCTTCCTGTATACATTTCTACCTCTCCCTCTTCCCGCCATAGATTTTTTTTTTGAGGGGTCTTCTTTCGCCTCATTCTCCAGTTTCTTCTTCGTGTTATTTCCCCGTTTATTGAGGTCCATTTTTATTCAGTTCTTCCAGGTATTTTAGTCTTAGCCCTTTTTTTTTTTCACCCTTCTTTTTTGTCTTGTTTTTAGCCGTCTTATATCTTAGGACCCTTATCTCCTTCCTAAGGCTGGCTCTAAGACGCCTCCGACGCCTCGTCAAACCGACCACCGTCTACGTCTTCTATCTCATCTCGCTCAATCGTTCTCTGAGCAGAGCGTCCCTCCCCGGTGACGCCCATAGACGGAAGGGTAGAGCCACCCTGTTGCTGTTGTTGCTGCTGCTGCAACTGTAGATTGCGCGGCGCTGTCGTGGGATATTTTTCGTGGAACCTCACACTCTCCTCGTACACCGCCCTCTTCACATCATTCACCGTCTTTTGTTCCTGCTCGTCAAAGCTGAAGGGGGGTATGTCAATGGTCTCATATTGTTCGTCGTAGAGTTCCGCCAGAAATGGGTGCCGGAGTGCCTCGTCCACGGTGATGCGTTTATCAGGATGAAAGACAAGCATGCGCTGCAGCAGGTCGAGAGCATTATCAGACGCCTTCGGATACTTCACACGCCAGTCTAGTGGGGTGCGCTGCTCCTTTTTGCGAAGATACTTCTGGGCTGGTAAGGAACCGATAGATTTTATATCTTCCTCTGACGGGGTACCAATTACTTCAATGATCTTGTCAAGTTGCCGCACACGGTCTTTGCCTTGAAATAGTGGCCGTGAACCAAGCAGCTCACCAAGAATACTTCCTACACCCCACACATCAATTTGGACCGAGTAGTTTTTGTCCTCCATCACGAGCTCCGGTGCACGGTACCAGCGCATTGTCACATAGTCAGTCATGTTTTCTCCGTGATCACTTTCTTCCTTTGCAAGACCAAAGTCACATATTTTCAAATCACAGTTCTGGTTTACTAGAATGTTTGCTGGAGTGATGTCACGATGAATAACGCCGGCAGAATGAATGACCTTCAATGCATGGAGTATTTGGTAAATGAAGAACTGAACGTGGGCCTCCGTCAGCTCTTGACCAGTGCGTAAAACTTGTTTCAGATCCGTCTCCATAATTTCCATCACAATGTAGAAATGATCAAACGTGTCTCTGTCAAGTGGAGTGAGAATGTTTCGAAGTGCAATAATATTTTCATCATTGAAGAATGAGAGTAACTTAATCTCACGCAATACGCGCTTCGCCAGAATCATCTCCTCAAATATCTCCTTGTTAACACGCTTAATTGCCACAAGCTCGTTGTCATTGAGTGTGTCCCTTGCACGTATTACTATTCCGTATGATCCGGCACCAATTACTTTCTCCAATACGTAGCGGCTATCCAACGAGTTCACTTCCTCCTGCAGCTCCAACAGATTCCGAATTTGATGACTCATGATGACTGCAACCGCCACACTGTCGCTGCTGCTATCAAGTACACACAGAGAGAGTAAACGTGTATGAGAGATATAAATAGATAATGAGGAATCTATGAAAGAAAAGAGAAGTAAATAAGTAAATTCCTCTCCCGCTCGGTCAGGCCTCCTTGTTTTATTTTATTGTCTTCGCGTCTTATGTGCTGTCTTTTGCTGCGGTGGTAACACTCTCTTTCCCTCCCCCCTTTCCGTCAATCAATCAGATTGTGGCGGTTCCGTCGCCTTTCTCTTGTCTTTTGTCCTTTTTGGATTTCCACTCCACCCCCTCTCCTTTCCCTTCAACAGAAAAGGCGCTGTTTGCTGCGCCACTGTACCCGCGAGCTGCAAAGAAGATGCAAAAGGGGTCAAGACAGGAATAGAGCGAATGGAGACTCAATACTCGCTCACCATTGAAATCAAACAACTGCAACGAGCATCCACGCTCAGCAGACGACACACCAACGCACATGCAAGTGAGTTATTCTCCACATTACTGGTCTTTTTGCCGAGCATAACGAGGAGTGTGGTGATGGTGGCAAGGAACAAGTTAAATCAAGTCCCAGCGGCACGCGAGCAAAGACCCGCCGGGAGAGGAAGCGCGGAATCGCACCACTAAAAAGGCAAAACACACCAAGTAAGGGGAGATCACACACAACCAACCAGCCACCGCCGCTACTCAGAATAGGTGCAAAACAAGAAAAAATTGGGTCATGGTGAGATGATGTTTCAACGCACGCACACAAATACCTTTTCCTTCTGCCCCACCTCATCTTTTGAGAGAGACGCCACCTACGGTTTTACACCTCTTTCCATGCCTCACACATACAAAAAAAAATGTATGTACCCATGCGCTCTCTTATTTAGAAAATAAGTACAAATTCTTGCTTCGCCCCCGTCGTTCTTGTACTACACACACAGACACAGATGCACACGGGCAAAAAAAAAAAGAGACCACATTGTGCTTTTCTTTACAAGAAAATTTTCAAGAAAAAAAACATTAGCCGTTAATAAGGTATGCGTTTTAAATATTGTTCCTAGTCCATTCTCTGCATCTCCTTTTTTTTTTCCTCTCTCTCCTCCCCCCCACCTCCCCCCCTCATCGGTCAGTAAGAAAGAGGAAATCAATCAGATTCACTCGTGCTGGGCGTTGCCACGGGTGGCCGACGGGGCGGCTTGGTTTGCCGGCGACTTGGCGGTTTCTTTGTGCCATTGACAGGTACCGCAGCTGCCGTGGGTTCAACTGTCTGCTGCTCATGTTTTTTTTGCTGTTTTGCGTAGGATTTTGAAAGCGGAACGTTGTCATCATCGTCAGAATCAGGGGATTTGGAGGGGGCCAGTGTGGCTGCATGATGATTAGGCGACTTGTCAACTACAGCATGGGACGACTCTGGAGAGCCAGGACGCGTGGCTAAGATGGTGGAAACTTCGGTAGCACCATTGCCAGAGAGTTGTTTGTTTCCAACTGTGCGGTAAAGTGGAACATCATCATCTTTTTCGCTGTCATCATCGCGCGGAGTTTCTTTCCTCTCCTTCTTCTGCTGCGGTGCGGAAGTCAGAATTTCCTCAGCCGCTGAGTTCTCATGTCGGTGCTTCCGCCCGCGTCGTTTCTTTTTCGCGCTGCTATTGGGCCCTTCCACTACCTCGGCCGCCGTTCCATTGCCCTCCACGTGCCTCCCATTATTGTCTGGTGTTGCTGCTTCCACCTCCTTGTGTTGCTGTTTTGAATCTTGTCGTTGTTGATACACTGACAGCCTGTCAGTGGGCTCCGGGAAAGACTTACGCTCCTTCACAAGAACAAGTTGATAACGACGGCCCGGCGTGACGAGGACATTTCCTTCCGCGTCAAAAGGCAGCAGCAGATGTCCACTCGGTGACTCTCGTAGCGCCAGTGAGCCACCCCTTTCTGCGCACCCAAAGGCGTGACTCGGGTTGAAAGTGTTCTGCAGTTCGGAGGCGAGACGAATCGTCAAGTCATCAATGATTATGGTCGGCATCCAGCTCCAGCACGCACAGAAAATGAGTTTCCTGCACGTGCATCGTTCACGCAAAAAAAAAAAAAAAAAGGCGCGGCGGGATGCAGAGGTCGCTGATCCTCAACAGGGAGCTGTGGAGAAAAGCAAAAGTAACAAGCAAACCAAATGGCGGCAAGCGGCGGAGGGCGCAGTGGAGCAGCCAATGGATTCCAAAGCAAGAGGAAGGTAAAAAGGCACAAACACAAACACAAACGAGAATAAGTGACGGTATGGCAAAACAAACATTTTCATTCTTTTTTTTTGTTGACCAGCCCAATCCCCAGCAAAAGAAGGCATATCAGCAACATGTATCACACCGCTGTGGTTTCAGCACCAACCATGCAACCACCCTTCACGAGGCGGACTCGCATCGTTGCCCTCGTGGCACACACCCTTTGCTGCGTACCACACACACCGTCATTGCTCTTACCATGCAGCGTAAACACATCCGCATTTGATAGAGGCTCCACATATAAACGAACATCGGCCACCGCCGCCCACCACACAGGAACACCCAATGGCTTTGGTGGCAGCGCTGTCGCAGCTGCTGAGTGTTGGTTGTACAAGCTTGTGCACCCATTCACAAAAACCACCGCCACGCTCCCCCCACAGGAAGTAACAAAAATGTCTTGACTACTGACGTCCGCGTCATGCGAGCAGTAATGATGCTCATACTCATCCAGATTGCTGCTCGCCGCATTCCTCCAGCCATTACCATTCAGAATTGCATTTCGCACCTCCCGTACAAGCGCAGCCGCCATCCAATGACGTGCATGATTTGTCGTCCCACACATAGGATGGTCCCAGAGACGTGCCACATTATCGACAACAATCAGCACACGACGTCGGTTCGCATGGTGGCGCGATTCGACATACTCCACACGGCTGAGAAAGCGAAAAAAGACCAGCAGGTCATTTGGTGACGCAAAAGGTACAAGTTTCACCTTTTTCAACATCATTAGCAAAAGGGTATCGGCGTCGTGACCGCACCGCACGCTGTTTGCCAATGCAGACGCAAGAGACGTCTTTAGAAGGTCACGAAGGCAACATGGACTGACGGCTGATGGATCTGAAAAAAGAAAATACACGGACCAATCATGTGGCGCAGACGTTGATGCCTCAGCCTTCACTAACATCATCTCCTCCTCCTCCTGGGACAGTTGGTGATCAACATTCTCCCCCACGACCGACGTCCTCATCATCGCTGTCCACTCCACACTCCCTCGCACAGCGAAGGCTGACACCATTCGCTGCACAAGCTGCGACTTGCCTGCTGCCGGCGGGCCAAATATCTCCAGCACCGTCCCGCATGCCACCCCGCCGTCTGGCAGCAGTTGGTCAATCGCCGCACTGCCGGTGGAGAAGACGGCGTCGCGACTAAAACAGCGCCCCAACTCAAAAACTGGCGACGCTGAGGTGGCGAGTGCGGCAAGACGCCGTAAAACTTCCTCAGCCGTCAGCGTCTCCCATGGAGAAGAAGAGGTGGCCATCCATGTGGTCCTCCCTGGGCCCCGTGCTGGCGCTTACTTCCAACTGCCCCCCGCCTGCCCTCTCCGTCTCTCCGTGGCGAGTGAGGAAGATGTGGCAAAGGATAGAAAAAATCCTTCGCCTTTTGCTTGGTCAAAGTGGTGCTCTGTGGGAGAACAAAATCCCCTCCCCCTCCTTAAAAATTCTTTTTGTTGACTCGTCTCTGTGTTGCAAGCAAGCTGACCTGGGAGAAAGCAAAAAAAAAAAAGGGGAAAAAAACAAGCGGAAGAAAAGCTCGCATATCTTATTTCCCCCTTTTCCCATTTTCGTCGTTCATCCCACCCCCACCCCAAGCACAACAGCGCAAATCCAAAAAAAAAAGCGCATACAGAAAGGCGAAACAACAACACAAAATTACCGCTTCCCACGAGCCACAAGGTACTCATTGCTTTTAGGTACTCATTGCTTTTGCTTTTTGGCCACAACGCAGGTGATTCCTCCTTTGCTTCTTATTTTGCTTCTGTATGCGTTCACACCTTCCGCCGCAGGCCGAAAAGCAGCAGGGCTGCACGCATCAATGCGAATGAGGTTACGACAGGATACGGCCAAGCCTGAAACCACTCATGCCAGTCCGGCTGCGTGATGGACGCACCCAAGACGATGGCTGTGAGCAGCAAAAATGTTTCCTTCGCCTTTCGTGCATTTCCGTCCCGTTTTTTAAAAAACTTCACCACGGAGGACTTCCCATTCACATCGGCCAGCAACATATGGTGTATATCCATCAATTTCATTGGTATCGTCAAGCTCACTATGAGGCCAAAAGCGAGGGTAGAGAGCGCTGAGTGGACATCTCCAACGGCTGCGCCACAGAGCGCAAACACAACGCTCCACATCAACGCCTCACGCAGTGAGAACAGGAAGCCGCCCGCCACTGGCATATCTCAAATGTGCCCTCACCTTCGCCACAGCTCAATGCGCAGAATCTCCACAAGAAACAAGAAACAAAAAACAGCCGGGCAATAAAATGTAGGAAAAATGTGCGATAACAGAAACACCACTATGACATAGAGAGAGATGAGGCATCCCTCAATGAGGCGAGAAAGCGGCAAACAACAAAGTAAATGCGAGGTGACAACAACTTATTCTCACGTACAGACAGAAGCATGGTGCCTGATAACGACAGTAATATGCGTCAAAAAAAAGTAGAAATAAAACATATCTGAGTCAAACATCTTCTGTACTGCCATCCAGCAAAAGCAGCCAATAAAGGAATGACCAATAATAACAGAGAAAACAACAATCGCACATGCAATGACTTCAAACCACAAACAAGCATGCACGTAGCAACTCTTCCTATCTCACGCTCGTTGCTTTTTTTTTCTTTTTTCTTTTTTTTTACTTCTCGTTTGTCTGCTGTTCGACACCAGTAACGTGTGAGGATGCACGCTTTTCGAGAAACACCGGAGTTGTGGCAAACAGTCGATTGACAAGCGCCATACGCCGCATTTCATACAATTTTTCCGCGCCCTCCTGCGCAAGGAAGCGCCGCTGCTCCTCCACAGTCCACCGCTCCATCTCCGCGAACTGGTCCTTCACGTGGCGCACAAAATAATTACGAAAGTTGTAGTCGGGAAATGTTTTCGCGGCGCGGATCATCTTCGTGCGCAGTCGCGCCATGGATTGCTGGGTTGCAGTGGACATCTCAGTTTTGTAGATACTCTTCTTAATTCAAGTCTACAGACCCTTTTACTGCCTTCAATACCAGTATCCACTAAGAACACTTCCCACGCATACACACACACAGTCACAGAAGGAGATGCATAGGCGATAGTTATAAATGACAAACAAACAAAAAAAACACACACACACACAAAGAGGAAATATGCATCACAGACATGCACGTTTGGACGCAATGGAGTGTGACTAAGAACGACAAGCAATAATAATAATAATAACCCTTTTCAACTGTGTGATCATAAGAGACAAACGAAGAACGTTACGGCAGTAAATCACAACTAAAAGGAGAAATGATATAATCTACATTTCTCCATAAATGAATAGACTAAATCAGTTATCATCCATTCGGCAATATCACAAAGACACACACACGCCGCACCTCCCCCCCACCCCCCACAAACACACACACTCCAAAACAACTTCAGGCACTTGCAGTTTCTTCAGCCGGAAAACGCCCCCATAGACACACGCGTCACACAGCTACAAATTACTGTGCCACCAATTTAAGCCTGTGACTGCATCCTTCCGCGTTTGTTTTGCTCAATCGGGAAGACGACGACATATGTTCGACGATGCAAACTTCGTCTTTGACGCCACCAGATCCACTGAACGGGTTCCCATCGACACGGTACGCCACAACGACCCTTTCAGCGTGTGTAAGAGGCCATGGGGATGAGAAGTACACAACATGTCCAGGCCTCATCCATCAAACAACATGTATCTGTCCCTGGGAGAGGCGATTCAGCTTCTTCTGAAATATTTTCCCCAGAAAACTGGAGAACGGCCAGCGAGGCCTTCTTGGGAGCAAAGAGAAGGCAATAGAAAGGGAATGAGATAAATATAAAGAGGCAGATTAATAATGCAAACTCAAGCCAGATAAAGAAACATCATATTGTGCGATACCGACTATGTATAACATATTAGGCCGGCTGGACCTCATCGTAGAAGGTCCGAGCTTGCACAACGTAAAGGAACACTTCGTTCCCCCCGCTCCCTTCATTCAAAGCCACCGGTTACACGTAGATGTATTACAAAAATGAGTGGTACACCAACTTGTTCTTTTACCTTACTATTTTTTTTTGGATTTTTAACACATATACACGCATTCCTTACGTCTTGCCTCCTTGCCCATTAGTGGCGATAATGAAGAGTGTGTCAGGTTCCTCAGGTAAGCCTTGCCTCGTTACGGAGGTACTCTCCCACATCCGCCTCATGGAACACGACAGTGCTGTTCATTTCACATTTCCTGCACTCCAACGTTCCCAGTGCAGCCACACCAAACCCCAACGGCACATCCCCCATGGAGAACACCGCCACCTTTTGGTATTTTGGCGTCGACTCCGTAATGCGGCCAAGGCCGGTGCGTGTGACATGACCACCGTAGAGAAACTTCTGCTCCTGGTTGGGTTTCACCCACACCTTAAAGAGAGAATACTGTGCAATGTAATCAAGCGCCGTCACCTGAATGCGGATGTGTCCGTTGTGGGTTACCTTCGCGAAGAGGACACCAATACCCATCAAGTTGGACTTGGCCACGCAGCTGGCAAGCTTGGCAAGGCGCAGTGGCATGTACCATATGCGGCTCTTGTGCAGTCTGAATACATGTTCCTCTTCCTCACCCTTGCGCTCTAAGAGGTGCGTTGTATTGGGCCCAATGTACTGCGCTAGCTTGTCAAACAGCTTCTTTGTCTCCTCCTCCGTCAGTGACCGCATGTAAGCCACCCCCTTGCTACGTTTGTGTGTGTGTGCGTGTGTGTTACTCTCAGGCCCAGGGAAGAGTAGCGCATGAAAAGTCAAGGTAAAATCAAAATACATAGAACAAGAAAAAGTCATTCCAGCATTAGCAAATGTTTCTACAGCGAGGGGGAGGCAGTAGCACAAAGAAAGTAAGAAGAGGCCTCACCCTCTCCCAGCACGCAACAAGAACCATGGAATGTGGGTGGAAACACAAATACACATACGCGCGCACACACATATAATCACAGCAAGCATGTAAAAAAAAAAAAAAAATCACTACAAAAAATATACACAAACGCGGAAACACAGGAAGAGAAGTATATACCCAAACGGGGGCGAAACAACACACGCACGGACACACACACAACGAGAAATAATGGGAGCATCATCCACGATATATATATGGCGCACATCACATTGCCAAACACCCCCCTTGCTTTTCACGTGCCTTCTTTAACTCTGCAACACCCCTTCCTACAGCTAGTTGCGTCTGCTGAACATTGAAGTCAATGCGATCCAAGATGCTCCCCTGTTCCACCACCATTCCACCCAAGTCTTTAAACATCGCATGCAACTCTGTTACACCTCGCAGTATTTCCTGAACTTCGCGACTAAGTTCCTTTTGTCTCAAATCCTCTTCAATAAGTTCTTGAATATCAGGTTGGGTATATCCAAGCTCAAGATATTGAGCAATCTTTTCCTCCCGCTCCATCCGTTCATGCGCCTCGCACGAACCAATCTGCTTGTATCGCTGTTTCTTGTCTTCACATCGCCTTAGCTGTGTGGCGTAGAGTTCTTGTCCCTCGCGAAATGACTGAATGATCATGGATAGGCGAGAGGAAAGGTGCTTCTTGGCGTTTTCCGATGCCAGCACCTCGTCCTCGTTGGTGACGTCCTGCGGGCGCATGCCAGAGATAACCATGCGCTCCAGTTCCCGAAGCAAAGATTGAATGCCTTGCGCGTTTCCTTCAATCTCTTGCCTCTGCGCCTCCTCCTCCTCATCAGAGAGAAACTTTGGTTGAAGGAACGCCTGCTGCTGCGCGTGCAGCCGCTCAATCTTAAAATTTATCGTACGTTCAAGCTCCAAAAAATGCGTGAACGCGCGGATCCACGGAGACATCACCCCGCTACGTGTCCCATTCTTGTTGCTGCCATTCACTGCAGCCTCTGTGAGCGACACCGATGCCGTTGCGCTGCACTTCCGCCTCGACTCACCCAGCCATTCCGCCTGATGCTGCACCGCCCGCCGCAGGGGTGCAAACTCTGGGAACCTGTCTCTTGTGAACGGACTCGACGAGAGTGAACGCATGCCACCCTCTTTTATCGCATCGAAGGCCCCCAAGCGCTGGAGAGACACGCACGCTTACAACCTTCCACATGCAAACCACCGAAACAAAACAAAAAATAGCAATAATAATAATAATAATAATAATAACGGCACCGTCCACTTTCACCACACACCACAGCAGAAAAGGGAGAGAAAAAAGGCCATTCCTCTTCTCAGAAGATTTAACGAACAAACACCAATATATATATATATATATATATATGTGAGCGCTCAATTGATTTCTATCGACCACGCATCGTTGGCTCAATCATACGCGACACATACACATGCACAAATACAACTACTGACTGACACCTACCCGTTCACGGTGTCTTCCTCCCCGCCCAAGCGGCAGGAGGAGCAGGAGCAGGGACAAGAACACAAACAAAAAGAAGACAAAATTTCCAACAGCACCCCGCTCTTCACAAAAAAAAAAAAAAAACAATTTGCCCTCCTGTCGCCGCTTAGAGTAAAATATGTAAGGGAACGTTACGCAGCTGCGAAGGCCGCACCATTGGCATCTGAAGCCCCCCATCACAGAGGGCCTCTCCCTTCTTTGCACTCTGCGCTATAGTGGCACTACGCATTAGCACCGCTGGCCCCACATGTTCCGCTTGATACGGAGGGTGGAGAGCAGCTAACAGAGTGGCAGTGTGTCTTGTAGAGCTGCTTCCAGGTGGTTGTAGTTTAAATGGGAACTCTTCTGCGACAGCGTCACTCGCCCCATTGCTCCGCTTCCAAAGAACAAAACGTCGAGCTGGACGAAGTGCCTTACATGAGAGATAAATCCTCCCGTCGCCGTTTTTCTCCTGGCGGAGCACAGGTGGTGGAGAAAGAGCCTGTGACACCTTATCCAAGTCAATAACTTGTTGTGGCTGTTGCTGTTGTTGTTGTTCTTTGTCTATGTGGAGTAAAAGGAACGTTGTGGCACGCCTGACCAACGGCATACCAGTATCAACTTCGTCCGCCCAACGCACGCGTTTTACAGAACGACGTGTCTCTGGGAACGACAAAGAACGTACCTCACTCCCTGTATTGCCGTTGTTGTCGTATGGCACTCTTTTCTCAGGTGGAGATCTTGCCGACAAGGGCGATGACTCCTGCAACAAGTTGGTGGATGCATCATTGCGGTCCTCGCCGCTCTGCAGTTCCGCAGGGGCAGAAGATTCCTCAGGGAAGAAGTCACCCTCCACGAGGTGCGCAGTATGCACCTCTTCATTGGCAGTCAGTTCTGCGAGGCTAGTCGGCACCAAATCTTGAAACCCGTTTTCCTCCGAGTCCACAAATTTATATTGGGGGGAACACGAGGCACTGACATCTGCATCTGAGCCTAATGTAAGCATCCGCCCCTGCTTATCTATCATGTGCCTCCCAACTCGCACGGCGTACCCGTCGTTAGTATTAATGTTGCTGCTGCTGCCGGCTTTTATTTTCCTACTTCCGCAGCTTGACAATTTTACCGGAAACCAATCACACGGAAAAAAATAATAATACAAAAAAACAAAGACGAAGAGGAACGAAAAAAAAAAAAGACTGAGAGAAAACAAAAAGTCACAACACACTCCCCATTCAGGCACACTGCCGCCCCTTTGAAAGCACGCAGATACAAGAGCATTAAGCAACAGCCGCAGAGACCGCAGCATCAGTCCTCGTCTCCCGCAGAACACAAGGAGATCTCAGGGCAATAACACAACCCCTGCGGGGTATACAGCAAGACACTCATTGGCACGTTGCAAGAGACGAACCATCCGTCTCCCACTTGCGTGAAATGCGGCGTGACCAACCGCACGAAGAATGACACGCGAAACGTTCGCCATCAGATATTCCACCCACAACCCCGTTCGATCCACCTTCTCGTTCTCCACGCACGGACTCCAGTCAACGCCCGTCACACCGCCAGTGTGGCGCTGAGTCAGTTGTTTTTCAATGCTCCACAAACGCCACAGTAGGGGTTTGTAGAACATGCAGAATGTCTGTCTGTCTCCTAGCTTCGCCAGTGGATTATTCACTAGCGCTGCATGTGGTTCTTTAAATGCCATGCCGTGATCCAAATGAAGGATGGTTGGAAACGCGCTGGACTCCCTGTTGGTACCACTTCCACTGCAACCTACATCATTGCCTGACCCACCACATTGACAGCCCCCAATCACAACAAAGGAGTTCTTATTGGGGGAACGATCATTATTACCCACGATGTAGTCAAACATTACCTGCTCAGATAGCGCAACAAGCGGACCATACGGGACGACTGTTCCGTTATACAGCGGGTTGAACCATCGGTGCCACCCAGGCATATTTTTTTTGTTGTATGGTACTCGTATGGAACTGCGGAGGAGCGGAGTAACGTGCCAAACTTCAAGTTGAAAACTACACCACGCATCCAAACCTTTGCGGCGCGTGTGCACATCACCACCGTTAGCTCCGTTTTTGTGTTCTGCATGCCGCTTGAGGAAAGAAAATACGTCATTCTGCACCCAAGCGTCATACGTTGCGCTTCCCGATTCCCGAATAAGAAAAGGGATCATGCGGATGCGACGCTGTGATCGACGCACCACGGCCTCCTGCAGCACTGCCAGTGGAATTGGAAAAATAAATGTTGGCGGAACCCGTCCTATGCCGAGTTTTCGGTCCACCGCAAATGCAGCTACCTCTGCAAAGGGATCTGCGGAAAACTGCCGCTGTGGGACCTTCACAAGAAAGGCCATACTCGCAAGACAACTTGGGGGCGTTTTCATTTCGAGAGAAAAACAAAATGTTGAACGAAACTTAATGGTACGCTGATCAAGCGAGGGTGCAATGACGTCTATCCGCACCCACACCAACAGATTGCGAATGTTCACATGCCCGCTGATTTTAAAATTGGAATTCATGTTTTTGCCGCGGCTCCACACAAGATAACGCTCTGCCCCGTGGGGAAGCGGAACGAAAGTGTGCCACCCAATGAACGGCCTTCCAACAGTCCACTCCGACTGGTTGGGCGATGACGCAAATGCCGCCTTGAGGAGCAGCTGCGCCAGCTGAATACAGGCCACATCATGTGCGGTGTTGAAAGGAGGAGTAGTGCCAGGGTCACAGGTCTGTGCCACGATGCCACCCTTTCGCTGTTTCTCTTGATGCACGCAGGGGCTGGGAGTAAAGGTGTCTCGAACAACATCGTCATACGACCACCAGGATGACACGTTAAGCGATATGTTTGCCCTCAAGAGACTCGTCAAACGGCGGCGATGCAGTTCCTTGGCGAGTGTGTAATTCACTCCACCCTCTTTGGCCCACTTCTCACGACAGCGGGGAAAAATGTCACGCACAAACAGCAAACGCACCGCCGCGTCGGGCATCATTTCCTGCGGCATCACCACTGTAGCCAGCAACAGCTGTTTCTCCTCCATCGATATGAGCCACTGGGGCGAGGATCCCCCTCCTGCTGCATGACATGGTGACGGTGCGAGTTGCGAGAGCATGTGGCTGGTGTTAACGATGAGCATCAAGAGACCCACCGCCACACAACTCACGATGATGTCCCACATACGCACCCTCCGTTGTTGACGACGATGCATCTTCTCACCCCCAAAAAGGGGAAGACGGAAGTGGTGTGGAGAGGGGAAAAAAGTGGGACCATTCACTCCCTCTACCAATCAAACAAACAAAAATGAATACAAAGGAAAAAAAAAAAGAAATGTCGAACAACGCACAGAAACGATACCTCAGCTGCCTCCATTCAAACCTCTTCCTTGGAAGAGTTGCAGTAATTCATCTTAGACTTGCAGCATGATATGTGTATCAGTAAGCACATGGAAGTGTTTTGCCCAGTTGTTTCTAAATCCGCCGAGTCGGTACCTTCCCACGCTCAATAATTCTCTACGAATGTGGCCTCCCCGTCCCAGTTTTTTTTGTGGATGTTCATTCCCTCGCATCTTCCGTCATTGCAGGAACAGGACTCTCCACTATGACGCCATCCGACATCACTTGCTCCTCTTCTTCCAGCTTAACTTTATACCCGTGGCGTTCCAAGTACCTGTCAAACAGAAGGAAACCAAGACTAATGCTAAGCATGAATATTGCCATTAGCCGAAACATGCTACGTGCACCCAAGCGTTGGTATAGTGTTCCACCGACAAGGTTACCAATGACTGGTCCAATGCCAAACGCGGTGACACTAAGAAATCCGATGGAGGAATGGGAAAGCGATTTGGGGAAGGCATGTCGTACAAAGTGCATGCCAGACAACCACATGAGGCCAAACGTAAAACCATGCAATGGCTCAAGAAATAACACGAGCCAAGGGTTGTAGAGAAATGAGTATCCAGTCACTCGAAAAGACCATGCTACGAATGATACACAAAGGAGTTGCCGATCCGTGTAATACTCGTGAATGTACTTGGAACATTGAAACAGCGGGATCTCAACAACAACTGTCATGACAACAGAAAGGCCAAGTAGGATTGGTGGGGCGTTAATAGTGTCAAGAAAGACAAACAAAAACGTGCTGATGAGGGCGTAACCCATACCCATACAACAAAGTGCTGAAAGAAACAACAACAATCGATGGTGCGACGCCACATAGCGTAGAACTTCAAAGTAGTTCTTTTGAGCACGCCCAGGTTCATCGTATGGTACAATGGTAAAGGCAAAGTACATCGAAATAGCCATACCCATAATATACATCAAGGCCAGTCCCCACCAGTCACGCCAACCAATAAGCAAAGAAATAGTTAAGGCGCCAAACGCCCATCCATAGGCCCCATAGGAGCGCATCGGCCCCCACTCTGGTTTTCGATCCGGAGGTAAAATAGACATGGTTCGTTGATCCATAAAGGGTCCCACAGGTGTGCGGAATGTAAAATGCAGCACAAGGAGAATTCCAATAATAATGTGGGAAGAAGTGGAAATAACAAAGAAAAGAAACAACGCTGAGCCAGCTGCAGCACATAGGTGAATTTTCATTGCACAATGGTATCTGTCTGCTAAATACGACAACGGGGAAAGTACTACAAGGGTGCTGAGTGGCATGAAAGCGATGACGGTCCCGACAGCCAAAGGTGTAAAACCCTTGTGCTCAAGCAAAATACCATAGTACGGTGAGGCTGAAAACCCAGCATACATGAAAAAGTATCCAATCTTACCTCGGATACTACCGGCCGAAATAGAGTCTTCCACTGCGTTCTGCTCTGCAGATGGAGAATGAGAAGCAGGAACCTGAGAAAGTTCAACACTGGCAGGGTTCACAATATACTCCTCCCTCACGGTTTCTATGTCAAGCGTTGCACGGGCATCTTCCACCACCACACACTGCTGTGCTTTTTCTGGCTCCAACATAATTGTATTGGTATATGACTATATATATATATATGCATATATGTGTAAGTATACTAAAAGCAAAGAGATCGACGGCAAGGGCACGATATTCTCTCGATACTGGTGCTCTTCTTCTGATCACTTTGTGCCACAACGTGAAAACGTGCTCCAACTCCAAAAGAAACCTTCTTGACAAGATAAACTGAGCCGTGACAAACAAACAAATTAATTAATAAGTAAATCATAACGTAGAAGTCCACAGCGCCAACGCAGCTAAAGCACCAATCACACAGAAATATATACAAATACACGAAGCAATAAAATTATATTCGTGTGGCTTCTACGCCTGTACTCATTCACTTAAAGTGACTCTTCATAAAGTGCCGAAACGCTGCGGAATGCTGGGCGTTGTTTTGCACCGCCTCCCACTTCGTCTTTTTATCCTTTTTTACCCCGTCTGCTGTTGTCACAACGTTCTGTTCACGCCACTCGCGCCTACGAAACAAGACATCATGATTGTAAGACGATACACCACCGTTACTAGTCGTATTATTAGTCGTATTAGTACGGTTGCCTAATCCCGTCGCGCGTGTGGAGGAAGCAGCAGCGGAGGTACCGCCAATTTTCTCATCTTTCGCTCGCTGCTTTTCCTGTTGCAGCTGCTCAATGCGTCGTCGTTCCCGCTCCAACTCCACCACGTCCTCGTCTTCACTTGACTCTTCATCTTCATCTTCCGGAACAGCGTCTACAGGATCTGCCTTGCCTGCCTCACCATCGTGTGCTTCCACAGTCTCACAGCGAGAACTGCCCATGGTGTTAACGTCAGCATGCTCTGTTGAGGATGGCGGTGAGTTGGCGTCATTATTCTCGCCCTCAGCAACCAAGGAGTTCGGGGAGGAAGCAATGGGTGCCGCAGTGTTGGCACGGCGACGCTTAATGCCCACTTGCGCAGGCAGGCTCTCCTTGTGTACAACTAACCTGTTCATTTCCACGCAGCTGGCTATACCCTTTCGTTTCTAGTGCCCCTCGCTTCTGCGTGTCTCACATGCACACACACACACACACACACAGAGCAAAAGAATAAAAAAAAAATTCGGAAATAAAACCATCGCCGACAATTCAACACAATAAAAGAACAAAAAACAAGGAGAACAATTGGGAAGGCGCTAGAGATAAAGAGACACGCACGCAACCATTAACCTGAAAGAGATGTACAGTGTTACCAAAGCCGAAGAGACAGTCCACGACCCACGTTTCTCCAAAAAAAAAATGAGAAGAGGAAAGGAACACCATGTGTGTTTCTCCGCACTGTCTGTCTGTCCACATACAAATACGTATGCCCTTGGTCGCACAGTAGTGGGAGATTACAAAACAACTCCTCATCACGTATACAACGTCAAGAGATGAGGAAACGGCGGAGATGCGGAAAGAGCCTCTCGCCCGTCGTTTTCCGCGTGGATAGAGAGGGTTGATTGGTTAGCTGAAGAAGTGGGCCTTCAAAGTCCCCCATTTGTGATTGACCATACAATGGCGCAATTAAAAAAAAAAAAGGTGGGGTGGTGGGAGGTATGCAATTGGGTTGTTTTTGCCGGGCACGTGTTGGGTCACATCGCCTCTCTCACAAACTTTCGAACAAGAAAGAAAAACACACTTGAATCTGTTACTCAAAAAATAAATAAATAAATGAGCCGAAAATCGCTCCGCGTCACTAACCTCTTTTGCCAGCAGTTGAATTTCCATCACCTCCCTTTTTCCACCCCTCCCCCGATTTTCTTACGCTTCCCTTTTTTCCTTCTTCGATGAACGGGATGGATTGTCACCAAAACGAAGCTCCCGCCTCTGAAAGAGGTCCTCTAGCGAGTCCTCGTTTTGCCTTGCGTCCGCTGATCCCGGCACACACGCAATTAGAAGCATCATGTATAAGCGCCCAAACAGGTGATAAGCATCAAGGATAAATAGCATGACTTCAAATATAACCCTCCTGTATGCGGAGAGGACATTTGCGCGCAGCCGCCTCTTCACAGAGGCGTTGTGCTTTGCGTGGAAACGTAACGCAGCCGCCGCCTGCTCCCGCCGTTGCCGTTCAACAGCAGCATCAAACACAGACACCACTTTTGGAGCTGCAACGCCTTCTGCCGTCGTCGTCTCCTTTGCTGGTGTGGTTTCAGCCAGCCGATCAATCTGGTCAAGGTAGTACTGAGCACTCTCATAGCTGTTGATAGGGCCAAGCCCTGCTACAGCCCGCCGTATAAGCATATTTACACGGTTGATTGGTGCACCGTAGAGACGGTTCAGTCCGCGAAGGATGTCAATGCTGCGCCCCACCAAAGGCAGTTCGGGTGGCACCAATTCTTGGTCCTTCAGCAGTGTTTGGACAGCTTCTCGCGCCCTCACCTGCATTTCAAACACTTCTTTCTTGGTGATCTCTTCGCGGTTGCCGCGCCGCAAAGACTCGTAAGGCTTTTGCATTTGTATTGAGGCAAACACCTCGGGATCAATAATGCCCCATGACGTGACAATTTTACGCATGGTTACCATGTCCCCCAGCACGATGGACTTGAAGAGCAAAGCGTACTCCACACGAAACCTCTCCGTTTCTGGGCAGCACATGCCAAAGTCCAGCAACACAATTTGCGGATTCGTGCATCTTTCCAGCGGCGGCGGCGCCTGCTGCTCACTCTTCCCAGTAAGCGGTGGGTGGCGGACCAAAATATTGGCTGCGTGTGGATCACAATGCACAAAGCTGTATTTAAATAGCATGTCCCCAAATGCGTCAAAAAGAGTTCGTAAAACAGTGACGACATCAAACTGCTGACGCACAGTCTCCACATCGACTAATTTGACGCCATCAATCCACTCCAGCACCAATAATCGTTGGGTGGAGTATTCCTTGTACAACTTCGGGACATACACGTTTGGATTATCAGCAAGCTCAAACCGCATTCGCTCCAGGTTGCCTGCTTCTGCAGCAAAATCAGTCTCACGACGGACGCCTTCGATGATAGTCTGTTGTGCCCAACTCACTGGCATGTTGAAGAGAACTCCAATTGCCCAAGTGAGAAAACGATACGTTTGTAGATCCCAAAAGACTTGATAGCGAATATACGGCTTCTGAACCTTGACAGCAACTTCTTTTGGCTCATCTTGCAGAGTTGTGGGGCGCAATGTGGCCCGGTGCACCTGCGCCATCGAAGCAGAGGCGACAGGTACGGGATCAAAATGAGAAAATATCTCATCTACGGTTTTTCCAGTTTCTTCCTGAATAATTCGATTAATATCATCTAACGGCACACACGGGGCCTTATCGAGAAGATCCTTCAAAACATCCATGTACTCGCGTGGAAAGACATGATTCAACGCGTTCAAGCCTTGTCCAAGCTTGATGTAAAGACCCTCATTCTTCAAACAGACATTTAAAATCAATTCTGCTGCAGTGCGATGCAAATTCGAAAATTCCTCGCAAGTTTCAGGCGTTGTGGTCTTGTATAAATACGCAATCTGCGCTGTCCCCTTTACCGCTCGTAGAGAACGAGTGAATGAGATACCTGTCCAGTAGTCGGCACAAACGTAGAGTGTAGTCATCAGACCGGTACAGTAAAAAAAACGACGACCCCATTTGCGCGTTCCTGAAGTATTGGCGGATGTGACTCGATAAAGCGGCCAAAACATAGTCCCCAATCCACTGGAATGCGTATCAAGAAACACACATATCATATGTATAGCGAGATAAAGAGAGAGAGAGGAAAGAATTAAAAAGCAAATCCCTAGAAGCATATATTCTGCAATGATGCACTTGGAGCAACATCTGAGTGGAAACCGCAACCACCTACAAATGCAAGCGAACATGCAAAACAATAATAATACTAGTGTGTAGCGATTGCCGTTCCCACGCCTCATGTGAGGTCTTTCACACACACACACACACACACTCTCTCTCGTCGCTGGCCAGGCCTTCATCCTCCCTGTGAAGCCTCTCAACGCTATTCCTCTGAGAAGCTGTAATAACAACCAAAATAACACATCAATGCAACCTCTGCCAACGTTTGCAACCTTGTAAAGCATAATTGAGGCTACTTCTCTTTCAGTAAAAGCAATCTCTGCAACGAATGTGCATCGTTACCTCCCAACTTGAAAAGTAACCCAACCCCAAACAACATATAGCTATGCCAAAACAAAAACAGCTACTCACAAGAAAAGATAGACAGAGTAATTATCCCCACATATCTCCACTCGTAGAAGCTACCATTCCTGTACGGCTTTTCATGGGCAAATAGAGTGAGGGCCTGCAAACTCACCAATCAAAAACTGGGCACTAGTCACAACTCACCGTGCGCATTCACCGTTGAACCGCAACAAACCCCCTTCTTTGGCCGAAATTTAAGAGTCTTCAACATCGTGTGCGAAGAAGCAATCAAAATAAAATAAAAAGCAAATAAAAATATTTTTAAAAACAAATACAAAAATATTAATGCAGAATGATATTTCATGCAGCAGTCCATGAGTTACTTGGTGCAGCTTCGAGGGCCAGTAGTGCGCCGGCCGAAGTGGGATGCACACGTTCTCGATATCTAGCCTCCACGCAAGATAAAGGCAGATAGACAAGGTGACAAAACAAGCATCATGAACAAAATACACCCAACATTATCTAAAGGTAATAATCCCTTTCTCAGGAAAAATACACACCATAACAAGTCTAAATTGCCACAAACAACATACACAATAATTACCAAGATACCCCACGTCGGCAATATTTGCCGACACATGTTTGCAAAGACAAAGAGAATAATAACAAATCCTGCTACTGCCAACAATAAATCATTGAGCGACCCATCCACCATCCACAGTGATCGTAGTGCCGCGGATCTGGTCCGCCGCTGGACTCGCAAGAAACACCGCGACATCTCCAATCTGCTCGACCGTGACAAATGCTTTGGAAGGGTGTTTTTCGGCAAGAAGCGCCTGAGTTGCAATATTAATGTCACCGCCGTATTTTGTATCAGCAGCCGCCCTGATTTGCTTCTCCACCAGAGGTGTATAGGCAAATCCGGGACATATCGCATTGCAGGTAATTCCTGTTGTAGCAGTTTCCAAAGCCACAGTTTTGGTAAATCCAATTAAACCATGTTTAGCCGCACAGTAGGCTGATTTATGCACTGAACTCACCAACCCATGGACTGAGGCGATGTTAATAACACGTCCCCACCCGCGCTGACGCATGCCTGGCAGACACAGTTGTGTAGCATGAAATGGGGCTGTGAGGTTCATCGCAATAATTTCATCCCACATCTCCAAAGGAAAGGTTTCTACCGGAGAGATATGTGTAACACCGGCGTTATTTACCAGAATGTCTATGGATCCAAGCTCCTTCTCTGTGAACCTCACCAAAGACTCAATGTCTGCGCGCCTCCTCATGTCGGCACCAAAGTAGCGAACACGCGTGCCGTAAGCTCCCACTTTTTCAAGAATCGTCGGATCCCGGGGGGTCGGGTGCTTGCCGTTAAGGATAACATCAGCTCCCACCATCGCCAGCTGCGTCGCAACGCCAAGGCCGATTCCTCTCGTCGATCCTGTAACGACGGCTACCTTCCCTGACAAAACCTTTTTCGGCTGTGACATCTTATTTTTCCTCAAAGGGTTTGCTTCCTGCAAGAGGCAAAAAACAAATACATATTGCCACCAGGACCGCAACCGTAGCAAAGAAGCGACTACCGTTGTAAGGACTCCCCAAAAGAACTCCACAAGCCGCATAGAAAACGAATAAAACAAAAAAAGAAAGACTAGACACTTCTGAGAATCACACTATGAGTTTTTTTCTTCTTGTTTTTCTTTTCTTTTTGACCCTTTCTACTCGCCGCCCCTTACTCCCTCTCTTGACTCAATGACACGAATGACCTGCTCTGGATCGACGCCACGACGCAGCAGCTCTCGCACTAGTTTCATGGACTGTTGAACGGGTTTCTTCAAGGTGGGCTGACGTCGCTGTAGCGGTGAGCCCACCAGGTAGGCAATAGATGCCAAGCACTCTAACTGGAACTGCTCGTTTGACCCTGTAGCAAAGGGCCTCTTCGGAGGCCGGTTTACTGCAGTACCGCAGTTCCCATCATCGGCAACAGGAGTCTGTTTGGAAGAGCCAAGCGGGTACAATTGAGAAGGAAGAGAGCTAAGGGAGAGAGACAAGGTGGCAGCGGAAGTCGCTGGTCCAGCATTCACGGGTGCAACGACTTCCCGTGGACATGCTGGCTCACTGTATCGCCGATCACCTCCATGAGCCTCAGAGACAGCGAGGTATGCCTCATCCTCAGCCCAGCTCGACGCAGCTGTGCCCCACAGCAAACTCATTATCTTATTTCTGAACGATCCCCCCCTTTTTTTCTCCACCCAAACAAGCACGCAAGAAAGAAAAAAAACAAGCGGCAATGAAAGGTCCAGGAAAAACAAAAAAGGAAAACAAAGGAGTATGGGGAAAAAGACAACAATAATAAGCAGGAAGAAGGACGGCAACAGACAGCAAACAAATAAACAAGCAGAGAAACACCCAATAAATTCGCAGAAGCATAACTGTGCCGATAAAGGTTGCAAATAACAATCCATTTTGTTTTTCCTTCTTTTAAAGATGGGGGCAAGGAAGTAGAGTCACATGCAGAGGGCAAAAACGCAAAACACAATGCATCTCATGCTATAAAAAGCGCATTTAAGAACGACACAGCTAAACCGTAACAAGGTGACAATGCTACAGAAGAAACAAAACGCATTACGGGTCTAGCCTAAAAAAAAAAAAAAAAAGAAGTGAGGTACAAAGAAAGACACACACACACAAGGGTCCAAAACTCCATTTAAAGGTAGTAGACGTGTGATCCACCCCTGGGAGGAGCAGGGACGGTGAACAAACAAACAAAAACAAAAAAATGATGTTTCCACCCATGCATTTATCTCCTATCGATTATTCCTTATGCATCTTTCGCATTTCTTTTCATTCACATTTTTGCGAAGCACAAGATAGTCGGTGTTAGTAGTAGAAAAACAACGCAGTGTTTCCATCTTCGTCCCTTGATCACTGGTCAATGGAATCTCATGACTTAGTGTAGGCGGCATGTCCACACACCCTCGTCAAGGACTGTCAACGAAGATATATTCCATCAGGTGCTTCCACTTCGTTTAGCCGCACCTCCCAAATAATGTGTCCTCCGTTTCGGAAACAGAAACGGTTGTGACTGCCGTTCGGTTCGTTGCAGTTTGTACCCGTTTTATTCACGCTTTATGCGCTTTTCCCCGTCTCGCCGAGATAATCGCCATCGTTGTCTGATATGTTCGCCGGCATCAATACCTCGAAAAACCCTTCCTCGATGTGAGAAATCCCTTCATGCACGCCCATGAACGCATTGCCGTCAGCGTAAGGCTGGCTGATGTACTGCAGTGCCAGTCCCGTGGAAAACGCCTCAGGATAGTTCCGAGTGGCTGCGCCCCCCCCTGCCGCCCTCCTGTTCTTGGTTGTTCACGCCGCAGTGCGTAGAGGTAGTAGAAAACCAAGAAAATCATGCAAGGGACAATGACGAAAACCATAATGCACGCGTCCACCATTGCAATTGGCGTGCTTCCATCGAGAAAATACAAAGGCTGTTAATGTACAAACTACGGTGGTTTTCCTTCTTTTGTCGTCTCCAACGTTTGTGTGGTTTAATTGTGTACACTGGCGGAACCCATAACCTTTTTCAGGGGAGACTGCGGGTGCTGAAATGAGATACGCACGCCGAGTGAAGCAAAGAAGAAAACCCCCCCCCCCCAAAAAAAAAAAAAAAACAATGATAATAAAGGGTTGCCTGAGATTTGCATTTGCAGTGGCAGCAATATTGTAATTATAACAGTTATTATTTTCACCGCGTTGCTGGTATTGTTCTGCATATTTGATAATAACTTCCAAATACCCTTACGTCTTTGCACCCGTGAGCTAACAAGGAAGACAATTGATAGCGTTCCCCTAAGTCTAGCTCCACCGCGCTGTGATAGAAGAAAACAAGTAATCGTGAAACTCACGACGCTGCCGCCCAAGACGTCCTCTTTCTCGTGAACTTCCTGCTGCTGCTGCTGCTACTGCTGCCGCCGCCGCTTCTCGTGTAGTCAATGTTCACTATTGGCACATCCACGGTGTGCTTGCAAACTAAGCATAAGAAGGCACGCAGTTAAACTCCTCTGATGCCCCCTACTTTGTTTGTTTGCTATTCATCTGCTTAGAGAGACACAAGCAACATCAATCAGCCACGCATCACCGCTGCCTCGCGCGAATTGAGTTCTTTCATCAAGTCCTCTATATTTGTTGCCCGTATCTCATTTCCCACTTGCCTCAACCCACTAAAGGTCTGAATGGTGGGTGTGCCGTTAATAAGCTGATACTCCACAAGTGACCGTGTATCAATGTCCTTTGTGTCCACGCTGTACCACACGATGCGGCGCTTTTCGGCCTTACACTTCTCCGCCACCTCCTTGTACATCTCCGCAAAAGTCAGGCATGGAATACATGCATGCTTCCAGTACTTAATTACCATAAGATCATCCTTGTGTTCCTGCAGTTTTTGCAAAAACTCATCCTCACTCTTGATTGCCGGCAGTTTTGTTGCCTCAAGAAAACCGCTTTCCTCGAACTCGTGAATCCATTTGGGGAAGTTCTCTTGCATAAAACGCTCATATTCGTTACCGCTAAGGTTCTCAGGCAGCTTGCGGTCACCAAAGATACGTCGGATGATGTTGTGGGACATCTAGGAGTCCAGGAGAGAAAAAGAACAAGTGCGGGTAAAAGCTAACTGATGATGGCGATGTGGAGTGAAGAACAAGTGCGTCTTTCTCTTGTGATGCGGAAACCACTGCATACGTGCCGCACGAAAAATCAAAGCAAAAAAAAACGACCAATGGTAGCAACGCAAACCAGGCGATAATACGGTAGGGAGGGAGGGAGGGAGGGGGGGACAGGCCAGGTAAACAGTAAAACAAAAAAGAATCCCACACAGAGAGGCAACACTGATGCAGCTGCACGACGCCGCATTAACAGTAAAGATAAACTGCAATGGAGAAAATAATATCACGATATCTGCACGGGAGGGAGTTCAACAAAGTGGTGTTGGTTGCAGCTTATGAAATTGCAATAAAAAAGTTACGGATCAACGCTCCATACCTTCTTTCCTGCTCGCTTTGATCCGGCCCTTTACTCCGCCAGACCTTTTGGCCAGTGACCGTAGTACCGCATGTGTCGAAGCTTCCACCAGATTTCGCTGTGAAAATGGGGGTCCGTGACGTCGGACTCACGTAGTTCCGCTCGCGACGACGACAGATGCGACTGTCCAGGAGACATCATCGCTACCGTCATATCAAGACCCTCATGCTCTGGGTGGCGATCTGAAAAGCGTTTGAGCCTCAGCCACGAGTCCTGCAACTCTCGCTCTTCATCGGACTTGCCGTAGACATTAACATCCCAGAAGGGCTTGCTGTTCTTGATGCTGTGAAAGCCGCGAATTGTCAAACACAGCACTACCAAAAATGGCATCCCATAGACTCCAATGGAGTGATTTAAGAATTTCTCGGGGCTCTCCCTCCAATGTGCTAAGATGCGTCGATGCCATTGACGCCTATCTTTACGTGTAAACTTTTTTGTTGCCTCCACACGATTAATGTAATAAACCGCATCCTGAAAGCTTGGCGGATCGTTGGATGCTGTGGGCATCACGTCCGCAGGGATGATGACACCGCCGTACTCGTCTATTTCGTTCAGTATGTAGGTTTCAAAATTGCTAACGTTTTTTCAGATGATCCAGTCCTGGTGCACGCCAGCGAATGACTTCACCACCCTCAAGAACACGTTGCAAGTAAAACTTGTTGTCCCGAGTACTGACAAACGATACATCTGTCTCCGTACTGTTGCATATGGGTCGGCCGTACTTGTCAATGTACACTAGCGTCGTAACTGCAGGATGCGGTGCAATCACGGTACGGATGCCGCGAGCGTTAAACAAAAGAGCACCAAAAACCGACTCAGTCGCCGTTATCCGCGACGGCCGAAAAACGAGACGTTGATAAACGATCCCCTCGCCACCCATCTGGGATGCCAACAACATCATCTTTCAGCAAGAGAGGGTGGCCGCTATGGATATCAAGTGATGCTGGGGGAAGGGCCAAATCACCAGAGTCTGCTACGCAAGGCCGATCAAGACCAAGATAAGACAAAAAAAAAAGCAAGGAAAAGAGAAGCAGAGGAGAAATGAACAGCAAAAAAAAAACCTTTACGCAACAAAACCAAAAACAAAAACGAAATCTCCTGTTTGGAATTGGCTTGAAAGCCGTCCTTCGGTTGCAGCCAAAAAATCAGGTAGAAAGGTCAATCCATCTGCCCACAAAGCTTAAAAGAAAAGTGACAAGTAACTTTACAAGAAAAAAAAAGTATCTATGTATTTATTCACTTCTTTTGTATTTAATTGTTTAACGGGCTGTGGCTCGAGACTGAGGAGTTTTTGTTCACTCTAAAATTTACGTGTATCGATCTAAAAGTTTCAGATGCTTCAAAGATGTATCTAATGAGAGATTATACAAAATATTTGGTAAACAACGCAGCCACTCACCTACTACTCCCGCTTTTAAAGGTTCTACACTACCCGGTTAGGGGCGCTCTCGTGCGGGGAACAATGGGTTGTACAGGACATTGACCCCTCGTCACACGGGAGAGGGCCCGTCGGGAGGGTGAGGGCGGTGGCATGGGCTGCTTACTTACCCCACCTTTCGCGGGTAGTAATGTAAAGGGCTTCGGCTGAGGTGCTTCTTGCGGACCAGTTGGCCTTCCACAGGCAATTGCCCCATGTGCATGGCCGACTTGTACACACTGCCGCAAGCTGCCATCATGAGCGTTATCAGAAGCCAAAACTTTCTTCTTGGACACGTATGTGTGTTTTCCAACTGGCGGGTAGGAGACATCTTGTGTCTCGGATGTGACAGCTGCCACGATTACCTTCGCACCGGGAATCGGCTTTGGACTCGGCGACGGCGAAAAAGATGCTTCTGGAAATGGGCCCAAACACTGTAAAGCCTGTTGGGTTCCCTCGTTGTAGCGTTGATTCGACTCGTCGTCGTACCGCACACAACAAGCTTCGAATGCCGCGTCCAACGGGAGGCTACTCCTTGATAGGTCGTCGGTACTCCACATTTCCAGTGCCGTTTCCATGGATGGTGATACCACGTCCCTTCTCGATTCCGTGAACAACGCGTGAGCGTCAATTCTCTCTGACTGATCCTCGCCGCCTCGAGCAAGTCTTTGCCGCAGCTCTTTAATCCCTACTGGAGCCTGTTTCCACTTCACTGAACCAATACGAGCTGACCAGGAAACGATGGGAATGGCCGCAGATGACTGCTTCGGGCGTGGCGGAGGAGAGGACTGGTGTGGGCCCGCATCAGTAAGAATGCTCTTCTTAATGTCCCTGCGCTCACCAAATGAATCCACAAAGCGAGTGGCCGTGCCATCCCCCACTGGGGCAGATGACGGCACAGCAACACGGCCCATGACTGCACCTGACAGCTCACAAGCCCCCTTACTCTGCGGCCTACGACGCTCCAACAGGGACAATGACGTCAGCAGCACCTTTTCGGCGGGTACGTCTACAGCGTTCACAGGGGCCTTATCATCGACACTCGCCTTGCTTCTACTACACGTTGGGGAATTAACCGTGGTGGGACTGCACTGGGTTACCGGTCTCATTGCGTTTGTCAAAGAAAGAGGCATGGAGTTTGTTTCGGGGCTTACTCTGTCACTACAAGAGTCCCGCTCATTTTGAAATGAAACAGATACGGAATCGGTAAGCCTCGGTGCCTCACAGGAGCTTCGCGCTGGTAGTAGCCACGCAGAGGGGTTTAGGGTTTCTCGACACTCTTGCAGAACATATTCCCCAACGTGCAGGTGCAAGGAGTTGCTTAGGCGCAGTAATAGCACAGCATTGAGAACTTCCCAACTTATAGTTTTGTGCTCAAACGACGGCCGCATGACATGGTAATCATAAGCTGCTGAAGGCACCAGGTCAGCCTCCTCCTCCTCTTCCTGAGCAACAGTCTTGGTACCACCACTGACGGAATCTAGGAGACGTTCCCCTGCAGAAATCATCTCATCCCATACTTCGTCCGTAAAGCGTTCAGACTCCATGCGTTTGACACTTTCACGTTTCGTAATTTCGTCCTCAGCAAGGAAAAAGCGGTTGATAACGTTAATGTTCGCAAGCAACGACATGATGGCACGGTACCCACTCTCGCTCAGCCGCCGCGCAGGCGGCCCACCCCTGACACCTCCACTTGCGATGTATGAGTACGACTGAAAGAGCGACCATAAGTGCTGCTTAAAGGCACTAATATTATTGGACATCATGTATCAACGTCCGTGTGGGCCCAAAGGTGTCGTCTCTACCACTCCACCTCCTTCTACGTCCTTAATGGTCAAGTCAATCCTTGAATCACCCTCCTGCGTTACTCGTCTACACGAGGGGTACACACACACGCACACATGCAGAAACAAAACGAAAGCACACACCACAAAGGGGAAGGCATAAGGAGGAAAAAAAATCCACCACTAAGGTGCAACCGCAATAAGCAAATAGAGAGAAAAAAACTAATTAACAAAAGTTTTTTTTTATTTTATGAATAGACACACCCACCAGCAATTCACTTTAAACGGAAAATTGTTCTGCGTAATGCTGGCTTCTTCATTCACTCCTACGAAAGGTTTACCACGACACACCTTCGCCATGTGAGTAGATAATGTGAAGTGAACACAACGTCTGCCGCTTGCTTTAGTCAGCAAAGGCCCTTTGAAAAACGACCCCCCCCCTCACAACAGCAACAACAATATATGTATATGGAAAAAAGAGTGAAGAAAAAAAAATCCCCGGCTGCCTTTCTATCCAGTTCCTTCACGGTATTTGAGTTGTCTGCCACCTGGACCCGCGGCTTTTGTTCCGTGACAGCATACCACCAACATTTGCCTTGAGGAATTTCAGCGGCAGCACTGCTGCCCGCATAGAGATGCCAAGTTTGTCCATCTCTGACCATTGCACCGGGATGGGATTCAGCCCCGCGGCGGCGACACTGTCCATTGACCGCTCGTACCCTTTCTGCACCAAAACGTCTGTCGTGAAATCAACACCGTAAAAGGAAAGAAAATGGCAACCGGGCTCAAGATACACGACATTCATCTCTGCGTTGGGTTGCTTCTGCTGGTACTGATCCACAGCCAACAGGCCATGCTCATCTTTCCATGTTAAAAGAACATTGTTGCCAGCGAAGCCAAAGTAGTCCCCTAGCGGTGGCGCGTCCCCCTCCTGCTCCAAGGTGAAAACATCAAAGGTGAACTGATCCTCCTTAACCTCAAATAACTGCTTCAGCGTTGAGTGGGCCACCGCATTTGTGCGAGGGCCATGCCCAACCGCAATACCAGTCGGCAAACAGACGATATCACCACTGTGGCAGCGACAGCTTTCCGTATCCTGAAGATATGATGCAAGTGTAGATGGGCCACCGGCACCCCGAACGTACCGCATCGACTCCATGAACTCTGTCGCACGATGTTCCATGCCTGTCAGAGGCATTCCTAAAAAAGTAGCTCCAATAGAGGTCATTTGATCCGCTACGCGCAACGCCTCCACAGAGGGTCGCTCAGACATCAAATGGACCTTATCAACTAGAGAAGAGTGCTGTAGAGTCTTGTAGAAGTCGCGAAACTGATGGATCAGCATATCGCGGTTGACCACAATTCCATTCGGTCCAGCACTAGGAACAGATCGGTAATGAGGCGAACGAACAAAGGCATGCAATGCCCTGTTTCCGGACGTGCGTCGCAGCATGAACCTTTCTACTTGCCCTCTGCTGGTAACAAACCCGTGATACCTTCGATCTTCCCTTCAATTTTTGTCCTCTCCAACGTATCAAGTTGCCTCGTTCCGTTTGTAGCTCTTACTTAATTTCGATCCCAGATGCTCTCTGCAGCAACCGGAGTCTGAAATTTAAATACAGGCAAATCACCACAGCTCAGGCTTCTGTTACGAGGGATTGATCAAAATAAAAACAAAAACAACACAACAAGAAAAAAAAAGAGAGAGGGTAAAAAGAAGGCACAGATAAAAACCTGAAAGCCAATACGAAAAGAAGGGTATAAAGGCTACCAACAACAACAACGTAAATAGTGGGTTGTTTTGTTTTGTTTTTTGTTCTTACTTTGCGGACCTCTAGCAATGGCTTGATGTCTCTCACTAAGCATGTACCATTCATTTGTACCTCATCTACTCTATCGGGGGTGGGCTGCTGCAGTACCGCCTCGCAATGTAACGATGCACGTCTACGTGCTTCCAGTATACCCCACGCCACGGTTCCGATGCTATAGTCTCCTTCGTAGGTGCAGGTCGCCACAAATATTTATTGTTCACGGGCTGAATACACAGTCCCGTGCGGTGCTCTTTGCAGCTCCGTTCCCGAAGTGAGGTGACTGCATGAGATGGCACCCCTCGCACAGGTGGCACAGAGATGTGCTGTGTCTGTTCATTATACCACACAGCAGACGGCACGACGGGGATGTATGTGGGCAAAAACTCAATGGATGGTGGCGAGGTTGCAATGACTGGAACCAACCCGGGTTCTTTGGTTTTTTTCAGTAAAACTGGGGCCACAGTTGTGGTTTCCAGCGCATGGCTTTGGGGTTGTATTACGCTAAGTGCCGCTATGGGCGAAGATACCGAAGGTGGCGGTTTTGGCGGTGGAACAGAAGCTGGCAGTGGAGGTTGATATCCATTACTTGCCGTAACCCGCGTGACTCCCACCGGAATTGAAGGAGTTTCCATCTGCGGTGGGGGAACCGCAGCTGTCAAAATTTTGAATGGCCTACAGGTTTTTCTAAAAAGTTTTTCTTCACCGCAAACCAAAACGCCTTTTTTGGTAATAAAAAAAAAGACAAAAAAAACGGATTCACTTGTAGTTCAACCTGACAAATATCAACCAAAAGCGCAGGCTTCACAACACACCAAAACAGTGCAAAATTCTATGCCCCCTCCATAAGCACATTAACATCAAAATCTATGGTGCTGTTGGGCCCAGCTCCCCAGAGCCCTTTTTCGCGCTAAGCGGAACAACCCGAATGTTTGGGAGACATTTCTTGCGGTGTTTTTGCTTTTCAATGTCTGGCGCACGAAGACTTGGCTCAGCACCGTAGAAACGACGCTGAATATAGTTGCCAACGTTCTTATTGGTCCACTTCACGCCCTTCCACGACTCAGCACCCTCTATAGCAGCAGCTCGGGCCAACGCCGCAAGAATTTCTCCATGCGGTGGCGCGGAATTTGCAACTGAAACAGCTTGACATTCAAGCTGAGAACCAATGATTGCAGTGGCACCAGTCATGCCTCCCGGCAACGGCGTTGTGGCCGAGTAGGGTTGCGTCACAGCAGTGGCACCAGTCATACCTCCCGGCAACGGCGTTGTGGCCGAGTAGGGTTGCGTCACAGCAGTGGCACCAGCCATGCCTCCCGGCAACGGCGTTGTGGCCGAGTAGGGTTGCGTCACAGCAGTGGCACCAGCCATGCCTCCCGGCAACGGCGTTGTGGCCGAGTAGGGTTGCGTCACA